TTTTTTTTTTTTTTTGTGGCACTGGGGGATGAATTTAGGATTCATACATGCTAGGCAACACTACCACTTGAGCTACCTCCAGTCCCCCAAAGTCTTCCTAGCACAAGTTCAGTGCTCATATGTACCTGGATTGGATGCTGCTGCTATGTGGTGTTACTTGGTGTGTCTTCTTATACATGCCAACTGAATTTGATAATTAGAATATAAGACTGTATCATCACATCTTTTAGTTATGGTATATTTGGGTGGGGGGGAATACTGTGAAGAATGGACAGGATTGGAGGTATAACTCAGCGCCTGCTTAGGATGTGTAAGAAAAAGGTGCATAAATCTTTGATCTCCATTAAGTCAGACTTTATCTACATCTATACAATATCAATCAAAAGTTGCCTTTTAATTCCAATACCTTTATTACCCATATGTGTTTGAAATATTTCCCTTTGTGTCTCTTTAGGACTTTTTATGCCTTTCCCCACTGGAGCTTATGAAGATGACTGGCCTGAGTTATCAGGGTGTCCATGAACCTCTGTGTGTGGTCAGTAGGGCTTGCGCCCCACAGATGCAAACGGTACACACGCATTCTTAAAATTATGATTTGATTGTGAAATAATTATTTCATTTAAAATCTTTTTTTGGGATGAAGTAAAATTAGAGATGAATACCTCAAGTTTCCTACCACAGATTTTTTCCTATAAAATAAGATCATGAGAGACAGTTCCTAAATATGGGAATTAAGGAGCATCAAGAAAGTTTTATTTTTTTCTTCAGCTAATGATGATCTGTTGGAAGGTCATCTTCCTATATTTTAATTTGTTTGGGTAGGATTTGATGGTCTTATGGTCAAATTATAATGTGCTGTTAATTTTCACGTTCCCTTTCTTTGTAATATTTTTACAATCGTCATTTACTCTAGGCATCGTAAAGTATACATAATTACACTTATACTAGCTTATTAATTAAAAAATGATACTTAAAAATTTACTTTTACTCTTGAGAAAAGTTGAAGTCTTTTCTAACAATTATACTATTTTATACAATTATATTCTCTGCATTATGACTATAGCTTATCAAAATGTGGATTTTTTGCATGGTAGAAAAAAATCTTATTTTCTGAGATCATGTGTTGCCTAAAGATGTGTTCTGTGCTTTGCAAATGTATTTATTTTTGGTACTGGGGTTTGAACTCAGGGCCTCATGTTATGCTACCACTTGAGACACATCTCCATCCCTTTTTGCTTTAGTTATTGTTTTGGATAGGATTTTGAGGTTTTATTCCTCTAGGGTTGGCATTGGGCTGCTATCCTCCTAACTATACCTCTGCAGATGTGATCCACCATGCCCAACTTGTTTGTTGAGATGGGGTCTTTTTAACTTTTTGCCTGGACTGTCCTTGAATTGCAGTCCTCCTGATCTACACCTCCCAAGTAGATGGGATTACAGGCACATGCCACCATTACTGGCCCCTGAAAATATATTGATTAATTAATCAATTTGTGTGGATTGCATTTATTTACCGTATCTTATTTTGAAATTTGGTAACCACTGAGCAATAAAGTAGATGCAATTCTCTGAAAAAGGAAAGAAAGAAGGAATGTTAGCATCATTTGAAACTTCTGAAAGCAATGAACTGTCTGAACAACAGATATTCCCCCTCTCTCTCTGACAGTAGTGGGGTTTGAACTCAGAGCCTGTGCTTGCTAGGTAAGGTGCTCTAACACTGAGCCACACCACTAGCCCAAAAACAGGTATTTTCTTTTGTTCAGATTTAGCT